TCAGGTAGATCCTCTTCTCCCCCTCTCTCTCGGCTCTCTCGACGTCGTCCCGATCTCGAGGGTCCCTGTGGGGCCACGAAACGTGTGAAGGAGTGCCATGCGAACTGCACCACTGGGACCTTAGGTGCAGCTCCCTGAGGGGCCACGAAACGTGTGAGGGGTGTGCCAAAAAGGGGCGGTGGCGCCATGCGAGCTGCGCCACTTGGACCTCAGGTGGAGCTCCCTGAGGGGCCACGAAATCTGTGAGGGGTGTGCCAAAATGGGGCGGTGGCGCCATGCGAGCTGCGCCACTTGGACCTCAGGTGGAGCTCCCTGAGGGGCCACGAAACGTGTGAGCGGTGTGCCAAAGTGGGGCGGTGGCGCCATGCGAGCTGCGCCACTTGGACCGTAAATGGAGCTCCCTATGGGGCCACGAAAATGATAATGATGATAATAATGATGATGATGACGATGATGATGATGATGATGATGATGATGATGATGATGACGATGAGGATGATAGGAGGGGAGAGGAGGCGGAGGAGGAGAGGAGGAGGGAGACGCGGGGCACCGTCTCTTCAAAACGAGGACCCAACACCACAGGATGGTCGGGAACAATGTTTTCGGCCTTCTCGCTTGTACACTATCGCTTGACTCGGGGGGCGTCAAGACGACCCCAGGATGGCCACAGCAAGGCGCAAGACAGGCCCGAGGAGGCGAAATTCGTTTGGGGGAGGGTGCGCTGGGGTGTTGTGGGCTCCCTGGCCCCATAAAACATAGAAATAGGAATATCTGTGCACAAATATATGCGTACATATATGTATGTATATATTGTTTACCTTGCACAGGGTGTCTAGAGCTCCGACATTTATTCATGGATTATCTTGCACAGGGTGTCTAGAGCTCCGACCACTTTATTCCGCGTCGCACACCCCCGCCCTCCCGCTTCCCCAGCGCCACCAGAGTGGGACCCCCGCGCCGTGGCTCTCTGCCCCGATCTGCCCCGAGACCCCCAGCGTCCCCAGCGTCCCAGCGGGAGCCCCGCCCACTGCCCCCTCCGCCACGAACGTTTTATTCCGCGTCGCCCCCCCCCTCCCCTCATCTCCAGACTGGGACCCCCGCGCCGTGGCTCTCTGCCCCGAGCCCTCCCGCGTCCCCAGCGCCCCACCGGGAACCCTGCCCACTGCCCCCTCCGCCGCGAACGCGACTTTATTTCGCGTTCCGCCCCCCCCCCCCCCCCCCCCCCCCCCCCACCCCCACCCCACCCCCCCCCCCCCCCCCCCCCCCCCCCCCCCCCCCCCCCCCCCCCCCCCCCCCCCCCCCCCCCCCCCCCCCCCCCCCCCCCCCACCCCGCCCCCCCCCACCCCCCCCCTACCACCCCCCCCTCCCCCCCCCCCCCCGCGTCCCCAGCGCCAGGCATGGGACCCCCGCCCGCCGTGTTTTTGTGCCCCGAGCCCCCCAGTGCCCAGCGCCCCAGCGGTGAGACCCGCAAAACTGCACCCCCTCCGCCACGAACGCTTGAACTTGATTCCACGTCGAACGACGCACACCACCTCCCCCACCTCCCTACCCGCGTCCCCAGCGCCCCAGTGGGGGCTCCGCCCCGTGCCCCCTCCGCCCCGACAATTTTATACCGCGTCGCGACGCACACCACCTCCCCCCTCCCCCCCCGTCCCCAGCGCCCCAGTTGAACCTCCGCCCCGTGGCCCTCTGCCCCAAGCCCCGCCCAGTGCCCCCTCCGCCCCGACCATTTTATTCCACGTCGCGACGCACACCACCTCCCCCTCCTCTCCGCGCCCCCAGCGCCCCAGTGGGACCTCCGCCCCGTGCCCCCTCCGCTCCGAGCACTTGATCCCGCGCCGCGACGCACACCACCTCCCCCCCCTTCCCCACCTGGGATTTGAGCCCCGTTGCTGGGGCGTAGATGTTTTTCGCCCGGGTTGGTTTTCGCCCGGTTGGCTTTCGCCCGGGATGATTTTCGCCCGGGTTGGCTTTCGCCCATATGTTGGCTTTCGCCCGGGTTGGCTTTCGCCCGGTTGGCTTTCGCCCAGGGTGGCTTTCGCCCGGGTTGGCTTTCGCCCGGTTGGCTTTCGCCCGGGGTGGCTTTCGCCCGGGTTGGCTTTCGCCCAGTTGGCTTTCGCCCGGTTGGCTTTCGCCCGGGTTGGCTTTCGCCCGGTTGGCTTTCGCCCGGGTTGGTTTTCGCCCAGTTGGCTTTCGCCCGGGTTGGCTTTCGCCCGGGCTCGTTTTCGCCTGGGTTCAGCGCCGCGGGGCCTGGCGCCGCCCTGGCCGGCGGTGCCGCCCCAGCCGCGGTGCCTGAGGCCGCTAGCCCTCGCTTGGTGCCAACGAACCGGCGTGGGCTCACATTGCTTCACGCAGGTACTGCTACAGGATCAAGCACACCAGCAAGAAAGGCGTCTCAATGTGGGAGTGCTACAAATGCTCCGCGTCCATCAGGAGCGCGGGGGCAACGGGCATGGATCCCGGGCGAGGGCGCCGCGGGCTGGCCCCGACACAATCCGTTAGGGTCCGCCCGACTCGCCCCGCCCGTTAGGTCCGCCCGCCCGATCGGACCCGCACGCTAAGGTTCGCGCGTGCGCACTCGAGCGCGCCCCCACACTTTAGTGTTCCGCCCGCCCGACTCGACCCGCCCGTCAGGGTCCGCCCAACCCGACCCGACCCATCCCGCCCGTTAGGGTCCGCCCGCCCCGACCCAACCCGCCCGTTAAAGCTCGCGCGTGCTCGTCCCGCCGCGCCCCACACTTTAGTGTCCCGCCTGCCCGACCCGACCCGCCCGTCAGGGTCCGCCCGACCCGACCCCACCCGCTTCGCCCGCCAGGGTCCGCCTGCCCCACCCGACCCGCCCGTCAGGGTTCACGCGTGCTCACTCGAGTGCGCCTCCACACTTTAATGTCCCACCTACCCCACCCGACCCGCCCGTTAGGGTCCGCCCGGCCAGAACCCACCCCGCCCTTAGGGTCCCCCCCTACCCTGACCGACCCCGCCGTTAATTAGGATTTCACGCGCTGTCACTCGAGCGCGCCCCCACACTGAGTAGTCCGCCGGCCCCGACCCGACGCCCGTTAGGGCCACCCGACCGACCCGAGCCCGACCCCCGCCCACCCGCCCGCCAGGCCCGCCCGCCCAACACGACCCGCCCTTAGGCGTTCACGCGAGCTCCACTCCGGAGAGCGCGCCCGGAAACACAGTGCCCCGCAGCATCCGGGACCTCCTTGACACCCCCCCACGTCTCTGCGACCCTTTCGCCTACTCAAGCGGCGCGCCTCAAAGGCTCCCGGGGGTCAGCACGGCGGCGGCGACGGCCACGCCAGCGACGGCGGCGCCTGCTTTTGCCCCTGAGCCTGCCCCGCCTGCTCCCCGCCCGGCCCCGGCGAAAGCCAAGCCCGGCGAACGCCAACCCCGGCGAAAGCCAACCCCGGCGAAAGCCAACCCCGGCGAAAGCCAACCCCGGCGAAAGCCAACCCGGCGAAAGCCAACCCCGGCGAAAGCCAACCCGGCGAAAATCAACCCCGGCGAAAGCCAACCCCGGCGAAAGCCAACCCGGCGAAAGCCAACCCGGCGAAAGCCAACCCCGGCGAAAGCCAACCCCGGCGAAAGCCAACCCGGGCGAAAGCCAACCCCGGCGAAACGAAGCCCGGCGAAACGAAGCCCGGCGAAGCGAAGCCCGGCGAAAGCCAACCCCGGCGAAAGCCATCCGTGCCGTTGCTGGGCCCCGAGGGGCGATGTCTTGTCCCCTCTTCCCCCCTCCTCCTCCACTGCTCCTCCCCCTTCCTTTTTGTGCAAGAGCCATGGCACACGTGCCACTTGTGTATATATATATATATATATACACAGAAAACTACATCTATAGTTATCTGTATACACATCAACCGCAGAGCGGCGGGCGGGCAAGATATGGGGTAGAAGCGGAAGCAGGACCAACATGACGAATATAAAGGCGTCGGACGAGCCTCGGGAGGAGAAGGCTGAGGAGGAGGGCGACCACAACGGCGAACAGGAGGAGGAGGAGGAGGAGGAGGAGGAGGAGGAGGACGAGGAAGAGAAGGGCGGACAGGAGGAAAAGAAGGAGGCGCACACTGCGAATGAGGGCGGCAGCCCTGGCGTCAGAGCGCCTGGCGGTGGCCGAACATGCTGAGGCGCAGGGGGGACGAGCGGGCGAGGCGCGGGCTCCGGGCACTCGCCACGCCCGCGTGGGCAGGGCGCGCGAGGCCGTGGCCGCCTGAAAAGGTTCAGAGCAGCTCACAGCGAGCTCATGCAGGGCCACAGCGGTCGCGCCGCCGCTTGTCATAACGTGATATCACCGGTGCTGGTCGAGGAGCAGGCGGAGGAGGAGGAGGAGGAGGAGGAGGAGGAGGAGGACAGCTATTACTGCGCGTTCTCGCATCTGCAGGCGACAGGTGACGACAGTCTGGGCGTGTCCCAAGGGGAGGAGGAAGGAGTGGGGGATGACTGAGAAAGGGGGGGGGATCGGAGAGGGAGGCGTTGGAGGGAGAAGGGAATAAGGGAGCGAATAAGGAGGACGGGACGAGGAAACAGGATTCTGCTGGCGAACACGTACACATACACAAATATGAAGAGATAGAAGCAGGAGAACGATGAGCACGACGATGAGAACATGTGTGTGAGATAGAGGGATGCGGTGAGAATGAGAGAGATGGGGAGAGAGGAATGGAGGGAGGGAGAAAGAGAGAAAGGAATAGGCGGAGGAAGAGGAATGGCCTCTTGGCCGCGTCATGGTCGCTGGGCCTGGCTCCAGGGCCGCTGCCAGACGCGATGTTGTCTTGTGAAGCAGCGCACGGTGGCTCACAGATGCTGCAGTCCTCGGCACACAGTTGCTATCTTGACAGCCAAAGCGCGGATGGGGTAGTAGTAGGAGGAAGAAGAGAAGGAGGAGGAGGAGGAGGAAGAGGAGGAGGTGGGGAGGTAGAAAACGGGCGAGGATGAAGAGGAACAATTATACAAGGTGAGAAAGGAGAAATGCGCATATTTCCTCCCTCGGGCACCGCAAGGATGACGTTCACGGCCACGAGAGCTGGCTGGTACCTCTCCCTGTCTCCCGCTTGCCTGTCCTCTTCTTCCTCCTGTCCGCTTCCCCTCGGCCCCATGATATTGTTGCACTCCTCCTCATCAATCTGTCGCTCTCCGCTCTCGTGGCAACATGCCCTCATCTCTATGTTGCTGGAGTCATCGCTATCGATCGGAATCCAGCGGACCAGCTTCAGCAATCTGTCAAAGCGACATGCCCTGAAAAGTGTTCCTGGAGCAGGAGCTGGAGTCCTCTTCTGCTCCTCCTTCTTCCTCATCCCCTTCCCGCTTGCCCTCCGGCTCACCTCCTCGTTCTCGTCTTTCTTCTCCGACCTCCTTTCTCATTCCTCCCTCCTGCTTGGGCCGCTCCTTCGCATCCGCCTCCTCGTCGCTGGTCGTTCCTCCTCCTCTCCTCCTCCTCCTCCTCCTCCTCCTCCTCCTCATTATCGGTCTCCTTCTCCTCCTCCTCCTCCTTTTCACCACCACCCCCCCACCACCTATCATCATCGTCATGACAACATTAATAATAATAGTAGTTACAGTAACAATAAGTTTAGCAATCATAGCAAAAACAATGGCACAAATCCGCCAGCCCCCTTGTGGGGCCAACAGGCTGTAGGCCTAAGCTTCGCAGTTTCCTGTGCCAGTTGCAGCTTCCAGTTTCCACTGTTACAGTTCTGCTGCTTGCTGCTTACTGTTCCTTGTTGACTTATTGCTGCTTACTGTTCCTTGTTGATGGACCGCGCGAGGGGAAGAGGCCCAAAACGGGCATTCTTACCACGCCCTGGAAGGGTTCTCAGAATTTCGGGAGAAGTAAAAATTGACACCCCTCACGCAGATCCGCAGGGTCAGGGTCCAAAAACACATGGGATTTGCCACATTTTTGAAATTCGGGCAGATCGGCGGGGTCAGGGTGCCAAAACACATGGGATTTGCCATATTTGTAAAATTCGGCGGCACCCCTCACGCAGATCGGCGGGGTTAGGGTTGAAAACATAGGGGATTGCCACATTTCTAAAATTCGGTGGCACCCCTCACGCAGATCGGCGGCGGGGTCAGGGTGCAAAAACACATGGGATTTGCCACATTTCTGAAATTCGGTGGCACCGCTCACGCAGATCGGCGGGGTCAGGGTCCAAAAACGCACGGGTTTTGCTACATGTTTCACATTCGGCGGCACCCCTCACGCAGATCCGTAGGGTCAGGGTCCAAAAATACATGGATTTGCAGCATTTCTGACATTCGGTGGCACCCCTCACGCAGATCGGCGGGGTCAGGGTGCAAAAACACATGGGATTTGCCACATTTCTTAAATCCGGCGGCACCCCTCACGCAGATCCGTAGGGTCAGGGTCCAAAAACACACAAGAATTTGCCACATTTCTGAATTCGGTTGCACCCCTCACGCAAATCCGTAAGGTCAAGGTTGAAAAACAAACATGTCCCGACACTGCTTCACGGCGGCGCCCAGACTTTATGATTTAGCTCTTGCATCTCCCATTATCCGAGACAAGGGGCCGGCGGCATGGGGCGAAGCCCTTACGGATAGTAATAACGATGATAAAGCTAATGCTCGTAACGGTAATCAATAATAAGTTGGGTGCTAAACAAAACAATTATCCCAGTGCGACCCTACCTAGGAGTTGGAGCATTTAGGAAGCAACATCTACATCTACACCGACAGCTACATTTACATCTACACATGCATCTACATCTACATCTACATCAACAGCGAGACTCACATCTACATCTACATCTACACCTACGTCTACACCTACGTCTACATATACATATACATCTACATCTACATCTACATCTACATCTACACCTACATCCACATCTACACCTACATCTACATCTACATCTACATATGCACTTTCGCATTGGTTTTGCTGTTGCTTTGCATTGCCTTTGCTTTTGCCCTTGCCGTTGCTTTGCTATGCTGCGCTATGGTATGCTATGATGTGCTGTGCGATGTTATGCTAGGCTATGATATGATGTGAGATGCTGCGCTATGCTATGCTATGCTATGATATACTATCATATGCTATGATATGCTTCGCTATGCTATGCTATGCTATGCTGTGCTGTGCTATGCTATGCTATGCTGCGCTGTGCTATGCTAAGCAATGCTGGACTATGCTATGCTATGCTATGCTATGCTGCGCTATGCCATGCTATGCTATGCTATGCTGAGCCTGAGCTATGCTATGATATGCTTGGCCATGCTATGCTATGCTATGCTGTGCTAATGCTGCGCTGCGCTATGCTGCGCTGCGCTAAGCTAAGCTAGGCTAGGTTAGGTTAAGCTAAGCTAAGCTAAGCTAAGCTAAGCTAAGCTAAGCCAAGCCAAGCTTAGCTAAGCTAATATGACATAAGCTAAGCTAAGCTAAACTAAGGTAAGCTAAACTAAGCTAAGCTAGGCTATGCTAAGCTCAGCTAAGCTAAGCTAGGCTTAGCTAAGCTTAGCTGGGTGAAC